CTGCAAAATTCTCTGATACAAAAATTAGCACTCAATAAGGAGGGGGTGAATAAGGGTATGCAAATCCGCCGATCAGCGCCTTTTTCCACCAAATCCGTCGATCCGCCAGTATTTTTGTTTAAATCCGGAACCACAATTACATCCGGAAAGGTAAATGTGAATGCCATTGTTACTAGTAATTTCGCACAAATCGTAAAGAAGGCAACATGCTTGATGACTATAACATAGTGCAATTCCAGTAACAGTCTCACACCTGAGTTTAAATGAGCTTTGTTCGAAAAAAGAAATAATTTGGATGAACTCATTAACATACCGACCAAGGCTGAAGAAAGATCTATGATCCAAACTTCGTTTAGGACCCAAGATCCGAACATCAAGACAGGCACAATCCGGAATCCGCGTCAAAATTCATAGCTGATCCACGATCCACTGTGTTTTCAAAATCCTCGAATCCGCTCGATTTACCGCAAAAATCCACAATCCGTGCGCTTTCTAAGGCCAAATCCGTCGATCCGAAAACCTATTCACCCCCCTCTTATCACGACTATGAGTTTCAGTTGTCAAACGACAGTCACCAAAACGCAGTGTTTGCCAAAGACAAATCTCATCTGCATGATCACTCTCCAAATATTACACGTAACATACCGTTTTGAAAAATCTATCCACCACAGTCACGACAACATCAAGCAATCCTCCCAAAACAACGATGAAGTCAAAAATGTTCCAATAGTCTCGAAAATAATTCTGAAAGGAAAGAAAACAGACAACAGTTACTGTTTTGCGTTAAGCCTTTTATGCTCTCAGGGGTGACCAAAAATTCGATTTCTTCTTGCCTTATCAACTTCTTTTCAAAGAGAAGTGCGAGGCAAATTAGGAAAACTGTAAACTAGGAACTCTCAAAATTGACTTCAAAACAAAAATTCAGAAAAATTAACGAGCAAGCCAGGAGGTGCAGTGCGCGAATCATCATAGAAACATAGCTAAACATGTTTATTCTGATCATGATTGAAACCACCTCAGGAGGAAGTTTCGATCTCAATTAAACGAAAAAGCGCGTTAAAGATGGCGGCCGAGAGCGGAGAGGAGCCAAGTCTACATTGGGGCTGCGATGATATAAAAGTTTTGGTTCAAATATGAATTGATGAAAACATACGATGGCAATAACCGGCCATGGGTAGAAAACAGAATATTTGGGAGAACACTGCCGCAAAACGTCACGAAAACGGTTTCACGATTTGCAAGTGCCGTAAAACCACATAAATTACAGGGCCATGCTGGCGTGAATCGTGTTCCCCTTCCTCTTTTTCTTGGCAGACCCATCGAAGTGTTTACTTGAAACATGTTTCGGTGCTAGTGTGGAAGCAGTATAAATGTGCTATCGGAAGCCGACTGACCTCCTCACTCGATAAATATACTTGCAGGTAATTTCCGTAACTGCGTACAAAGGTCTTCCCAGACACGAGCTCTAGCTTGTTTAGTGCCTCTTGATACCAAAAGCAAGACCAAATACATAACAGAAAAAAAAAAGCTTACCAGTCTTAGAGCGATAAACTTAAGTCCAGCTTCTACAATATAGAGAATAGTGAAGGCAATGTTCAGATACATAAGAATGTCTGTAAATTGCTCGCCTTGCTTGTAATGCTGCAGGGAAAAGAGAACAACAAGTGCCGGTGAGAAAGATCTCTTTCCAAAGTTTTCATAGAACTCAAAATGTTCTTAACCACATCCGAGGACCGTACAAAGTCCAAACTAGACACCATTTCAAACTCACAGACCATGAAACGAAGGAGTAATCTCAAAGTTATTTAAAACTGTTTGGTGTAGACGTTAAGGGGATTGACACAGCAGGAACCCTTTTAAAAAACTCACCTGGGACATAAGAACGCCCGTATTGAGAGCTATCAACACCAAAATGAATGTGTCAAAAGGCTTTGACATCACCAGGACCCAGATCTTGTACTGCAAACTCTTGTGGTCAGCTGGCATGTACCGCTGCGCAGGCTTAGCAGTCAGTGCAAACTGAATGCAATCACGCTGTTAAAAGAAGGCAAGAAATTCTTTTAACAAATCTGCAGTGAACTTTGTAGAAATTTTCAAAGAAGCCTTGTTAAAATACGCCTTATAAATTTCACCTCACACATAGGATTTGAGGAAAAGAAGACATATACTTCTCAGTACATGCATGAAAACGTATGCTTCACCAAACATCAAACATATTCTCGCTAGCGAGTGGATAGAGAGGAATTTTATTACCTGGTTCCTGTCCAGCTCACAACTGGCAATTTCTCTCTCACCCTCCTGTTGGAAGGTGAGGATGATCAACGCTACAAAGATGTTGAGAAAGAAGAAAGAGAACACCACAACAAAGCTAATGTAATAAAGAGCGTAACCGGGGCTGTAGTTCGGGATCGGGCCTTTGTCTACTTCTGTTGTGGCCATGGTGGCCTGCATAGCACTGTAGAAAGAAAAAGAAAAACCAGCAAGTTACAGTATTAATCCAGTGTAATAAACCCAGTTTATTGGCTTCCGTTATTTACCGAAGATTATTAACCCCAAGTGTATACATCAAAGTGCTGTCTCATCCCTTCCATGACCCTTCCCGTCCCGCAAATGATTAATAGTCCACACGTCCCGTCCCGTATCTCCAATGCACACATTCTCTACACCATTCACGAGGGCGCGCAATGAAAATTTTTCCAGAGATTTTGGGTTTTCCCAAAAAAGCTGAAACAGGGCGGAACGCACTGGAATTTCATTCTACCCTCTGCTGGAGTCATTACAAATTTGACCAAGCATTGACTGGGATGATTATAAATATTCCACGTACCTGGGCCAACCTTCACCAGTTGACGAGGTGTACAGAGTCAACATCGCTTTAAACACGTTGTCAAAGTTGAGAGCTTTTGTTTCCCACTCTCGGTCTTTCACCTAGCAATGACAACAAAAACTACCTCGTCAACCACCTCCAACAAAACTAGGATCCTGATTTCAGTACACGATTACACAAAAAAAGGAAACTTGCATGGTATGAACAGTTCATAGATTACGACAATGGACGTAGAGGACTAATGATTAGAATGACCGACCGACTGACGAATGAATGAATTAATGAATACTTTTACTAGAGGGACGATACTAAAATAGCAGTAAAAGAAAAACACTAAATATATTTATAGGTTACAATAATAGACCAATTTCGATATATTAAAATTCAGCCTGACACAACAGACCTCAACACGAGGCTCTAGGGAATAAACCCCACAAACTCTGTAGTTATTCCCCGGAGCCTCGTACTGAGGTCTGCTGTTTAAGGCTGAATTTTAAAATATCGAAATTGGCCCATTTGCCATACTGTGAGAAAATCGTCTAATCACGCGCACATGCATATTAACCATAAAATGTTAATAAAACACACCTTGGAAACTTCCTCCCGTTGAGTGAATTCATCGTAATCGAAAATGAAATACTGCCCTCTGCAAACAATCAAAAAGATGGCTAACATTGGTTATTTTTAAACAACGCGATGAGATCTTTTGAGCGACCATCTCTTAAAACTATTTATTATATGACTGAGAAAATTAATTCATTGTGATTGGCTGAGAGCAGGCCAATTTATCGTTAATTAGAATCTTAATTTGCACTGCAGTGCAAATTAACGCGCCCGCGTTCGTAATTTTTCCAGTCATATAATAAATGAGAGATAGTATGAAAGCTCTAGCAATTAAGGATTTACACTGCTCGTGATATTTAAAAATTCTTTCAAATTGCACTCGCCTAAAGGCCCGTGCAATTTTGAGAGAACTTTCAAACATCACTCGTAGTGTAAATCCTTAACTACACTCGCATTCAGACGATTTACATATACTAATTGAAACCTTGGAGAACAGCTTGGTGTTCAGCATCAATTTAATCTATGCCCGACAATGTTGTAAAAGGTAAAAGGGGAATTTCCATAAACATAAACATACATACATGCAATAACACACTTGCACGATGTCATCTGACGACAACTACCAGAGTGCATTACGTTTCTCCTTAGATATTTAATTTTAAAAACCACAGTGGGGTTTAGATAACAACTGTCTTTATTAGCACGAGAAAAAAAGTGAAGCTTACTGGTAGGCTACATCACGGTTCGCGCTTCTTGAAAAGTTTAGCCTAAATTCTTTTAGCCCAAATGTTCGTCGTTTGTAATCCGTGATAATCTTCCCCATCTTAAACCATCCTTGTTTCTTTATGGTTTATTATTATCTTTTTCGAGTTTTTCTATCTTAGTGAACTACTATTTTCATGTTTCCTTCAATTAAAAAGTAATTTTGTACGTGGCAAAATGTTTCAAAATACCGTGACTGAGCTCCTTTTTTTTTTTTTTTTTTTTTAAAAAAAATTATGTTGATGTCTTACTGGCATTCTTCCTTCCACAGCTTGGACTCGTCATTACAGTTCTGAAACTTCCCTTTGAAAAGTTGTACGCCCATAACAGCAAAGATGAACAAAAATAACGCCGTAATCATCAAGATATTGGCAACGTTCTTTACCGAGTACCACATGCAACGAAATACAGCCTGAAAGAAAACAACGAACGAAAATTACACAGGCGAAACTAAGAAAAGTGAAGCATGGGAGATTACAAGGTGATCGCCGGAATGGCTTTGGGATCGTTGCTGACGTCATTGTTTACATTTTTCCTCATAAACATACGATTCTGCGCAGAGAAGGCAAAAGGTTAGACACGAACTAACTCCAAACATTTAAAGGGAGTGTGAAACTTAGTAACTGGAGAAATGTTTGTTTTCTTGGACGTAATATTCAAGGAGCATATTGGTCTGAAAAACTGTAAAATTCGTGGTTGGCAATAGCACTAATGAGCTAATACATTTTCTTTGTAAAATTCTGCGTTTTTTAACCCGCGTCGCACAGAGGGTATTCAATACATCGAGCTAAAATTCCTTGGGGTAGTTAATCGTGCTATGCCCTTTCAAGAGATCCTCGACTGTGCACAATTTTTTGTGACGAAAGATTTTTATTTGTTAGTTGTTCAGTCACTAGTAAACAGCCATTGCGTTTTGTGCACGGGTAAGGCCAAAAAAGGGTACAAATACATACAAGAAAACAACGAACTTTGGTTTCATAACCATTCTTCTCTATTAACTTAGTTTAAAATGGATACTAAAGAAATGCGCGAAATTGTGAATCCTGACTTTGAAACTGACTGGATTGAAAAGCTCTGCTTAAGTCACAAAACAGTCAGGTTTGGCGAGTGTACAAACCTGTAACTTCTTAATTTTGTGCACTCCTTTAAACGGTCTTAAGACACGGAACACTCGGAGGGCTTTAATCACAGAACGGCCATCTCCAGAAGTGTCCGTTTGCCTGAATAACGAGAAAAAAAAGGATGAGCATACACTGGTTTAATTACCCCCCGAAAGTAATCACGTGTTCCTTATCTTTTGATCTAACCTATCAGTGTAAAGATGCTAAGAGTTCTATTTCCCGCCTTTTTTTGCGCTTTGCGAGCAGCGCATGGGCAGCGCATGGACTTTGTCTCTCGTTATAATTATTTCACTGTGTTTTTCCTGGTCCTTGCAACTGATGTGACAATTTTGGATTTGGTTTTACAATGTTCATTTAAAAGACTGAGCACTCTCGGACACTTTTCCAATACGCCATTTCTGAGTTACCTTTTGCCTCAGTGTCAAAACGAGTCTTCGTCCGAAACCATTGATATGAATTTTGTACGACGACTCGTTTTGAAACAGAGGCACAAGGCAACTCGGAAATGTCCTATTCTTTTCACAAATAATTAGCCATCCGTACAATTCGCTACAGTACTAAGATGAAATAATGTAAATTATACTTACACTAAAATGAGAGACGCCATGTTGAAAGACACTACCAGAGCATCAATGACGTTCCACCAATCACGGAAGTAAGCGCCTTTATGAAAAATGACACCGACATCTACAATCTGAGCCCAGGAAAATAACAAGGTCAGTACAGTCATTTATAACCCGTGAAACAACTACTATCGCAACAATGGAGGAGAGCTTCAGTTAATTTTTTAACTGACGCTTTTTGTTGCTAGTTGCATTACGGAATAAGGTAATAACTCAAGCAAACTGAAAAACACTCTCGCGTTTCCCTAAATTAAAAATTCAATGCAGATCAACCGTCTTTGTTACCTATTTTAGTGTTTTTCTTTTACTTCAGTTAATGATTGTGTCGAGGTTTCTTTCACAATAAGGTAGAACATCGCAGAAAACGAAACGTGCGAAAGAAAACTACCACTGGCAAAACAAAATAACTTGTACATAAAGCGATATGAGTTTGTTTATTGAAACGACACCTACTCTCAAAAAAAAATCTTTTCTCTCACCTTTATTATTACTTCTAAGGCAAATATTGCCGTGAAAACGTAGTCGAAGTACATCAGCACCTACAAAACAAAACCGCAAAGAAGCCAACAGTCAATTATTCTGTCGCGATTTTATTCACGGTACTGGAAACTTCAATGTTTTTATTTGGGAGTAAGATCTTTCATAGATTTACAAACAAACAAGCCAAAACCATGCACTTCACTGTAGTACTGAGAAAGGCTATTAGTAAGTAGAAGTAGAATTCTACTAAAGCACTATCGATTTGTAGGAAGTGATTTCTATCACCTCATGGAAGTTTCGAGCTTATAATCTACCTCGTTCCGTTTGGAATTATCGTTCACCGGATCTTCAATGGCGATGGAGATGCTGCTCAGCATGATGATAACAAGCATAAAGTTGTCAAAATGTCGTAAATTCACAATCCGGTGGCACAGCCGTCGAAATCTGGAAGAAAAATTAAAAAAATAAAGCCTGGTTCTCACTTGTGAGATCATCATCATCATCATCATCATTATCATCGACTTAACAAATTAACAGATTTTCATGCGCCTGTCTTGTTATTGATCATAAATTTCGTCAGGACATTGTCAAAGTAGTCTGTGGATCCGCAGACTACTTTGACAATGTTTTGACGAAATTCATTGTCAATTACAGGACAGATGCATGAAAAACGGACGTCAATTTGTTATTTACAAGAACAATTAGTCAAATTGTCCCTGGGGGGGGGGGGGGGT